ACTTCGGCCCCAATCGATGTGAGCGCGCTTCTCCTAGAAGGGTGGCTGTCCCCAGCTAACGAGCTGAGGGTTCGAACTCGAGACTTTTCGGTTTAGCAACCATGGGCTTTACCGACTCTACCACGCCAACCCCTTATAACACATTTGAAAACAACAAATAATTAGGCATAAATAAGCACACAAAGGCAAACTCGCAATAATTTCAGGGATTAACACAAATTAAAAAACAAAATAATAGATCGTTGTGGTTTAGGGGCTTTTAGAGTCATAGTATAATCAAAAAGCCAGGTGAAAGATCCATAATGAGACTTAATTAGCCTAATTACGCTAGCAAAATAGGTAAAAAAAAAAGTGTCAAGTAAAAAGAAAACTTACTTAAGCAGTGACAGAGGATAGCAATGACGTCCCTCACAAAAAATAAAATACTTAAAAAAAACTTTTTTAAAAAAACCACGTTTTTCTTGTGGACTAAAAAGTAGAAAATAACTATTTACATACATTTGATGACAAAAAACGTGGGTACGTTCACCATCAAATTTCCCGACCCATCTGCCCGACCCACGTTTTTTGTCATCAAATGTATGTAAATAGTTATTTTCTACTTTTTAGTCCACAAGAAAAACGTGGTTTTTTAAAAAAGTTTTTTTTAAGTATTTTATTTTCTCCTTTTTAGTCCGTTGCTACACATGAAAAACGTGGTTTTTAAAAAAGTTTTTTATATAGTTTATTTTCTACTTTATCTAATGACTTGATTAAGTATGACTTTACTAAGTGTTTATAAATACACGGACTAAAAAAATCTTGAGCGTCCAGGATTCGAACCTGGATTCGGCCACAACGCGAAGTACTAACCACTATACGATCACGGCCAGCGCGCTCACATCAAATGGGGCCGAAGTAACTGTGTCAATAAGCCTACAGTCTTGTCGGTATCTTTAGAAATCATGTCCTCAATTTTATGGTCCTTGGGGCGTAATTAAATTAAGCTAATTACGGTCTCTAATTGCTAGTTTTTATGATTGCATCTGAAATTGTTAGGCGAAAGTAGCGTGTATGCCAAATTTCAGATCTCTAGAGCAATCAGAAGTGGGCTAATTTTCGATGTCAATTTTAACAACAAACAAACAAATCCACAAACGCGAAGCTGAGTTAAGAAAAACGTGTTAAAAAATATTGTTTACGTGACATGTGGGTGATTTTTTTTCTCAAAATGAGTACAGAATATTTACAGTTTTAATTCAGAAACAGATCAATCTAATAATACCCTACCTAACAGTGCAAGTTTGGAACCTTACAGATAGATATTTTAAGTTTTTAAGCAACTTAAAACTTTACCCATGTTTATGTTTGACCTTCATTGTTGGAAGCTAATTAAATTTTTTTCTGGCAAAAATAGCTTTGTCATCTTCAGGTAGCATAAAAATACGCTTAAAATCTGTCATTTTTCATGTGATAATCATTTTTTAAAAACCAAATTCTAAGAAAGTCACTTTACTGTTAGTGTTAAGCAAAATTTTGAAAAAAACGTGTCTGGTTTTGGGTCTTCAAACAAAATATGTAGGCCTGCTATAATTTTTTTTTACACGATCTATCTATAGTTGTTTTTTAACAGTTGTAAAAGGTCCTTGAAATTTTTAAAAAACCTTGAAATGCAGTGTTTGTGAAAATTGCTGCTGTCACTGCACTCATCCTATTTTCTCCTCCCACCACTTGTAAAAAAAATCAGCTACTTGCTTTGGGGGGAGTTGGGGCGCTACATCTCTGACATTAGTATTAGCATAGTTACTTCTGAAATCTTCTTCATAATGAAATATACACGTCAACTGGTTATGCGCCATTGAGGCCATTGACTCAGATTTCTTCCTGCTTTTCTTTTTGGATTTGCTTCCATAGCTTTTGTCCACCCAAGAACAAACTACAAGGCAGAAGTTGTTTGATTTTGGAGTTGTCTCTCCACACCAACCCTACTTCTGAAGTGATTTCTTAGTAAAAATAACGTTTCTGTAATCCTGCGATGTTACTTACGAATTTCCACAATATTTTTTTTTACGTCATCGCGCATATCAAGGTGGGGGACATTGGTGGTGAAATGGTGCAACATAAGGTTTTAGATTTTGATGTGGAAATTAGCCATATACCTGGGTATGTTGTAAAAGCAGGCATACGACAGTGTACATTTGTGTTGTACGCCTACCACTTGTTATAGTTCAGGCCTGCTAAAAAAAAATTCTTAGATATTTCTACACATTTCTGTATTACCAACAGTAGAAAAAGTGACCACTGCCACTACAGAGTTGTTTGTATTGTGGTTTACATGCATGGGGGTAGGCCTTGAGATTGTACTAACATTTTAAACTAATTATGTTGTATTATATATTGGATATATATATTGGATATATATATATATATATATATATATATATATATATATATATATATATATATATATATATATATATATATTGGATATATATATATATATATTGGATATATTTTTTAATAGACTGATAAACCTAATAGTTCTTCAATCTTCAATTCATTTTTCTACTTCCCGGGCTAATATTTTAAAAGTTCTATCATTTTTAATGGTACCAGCTTTTAAATATACCTTCCTTCTCCAAAGCAAATTTTAAAATGTTTTTCTGGCATATTTTGCCCTGCCACCTATAGCTTGTTTGTATACCGTGAAAAACCAACATTTTTGCTCTTGGTAAACGTTTTAAAAACTAATTGTAAGAAGCCTTAAGAAGGTCACTGGTGCTAAGATGAAAAATCTTTGAAAGTCATGCATCTGGTGTGGACATCATATTGATGTTAGCAACGATCCACACCTCCAAGGTAGCGAGTAATACTAATAGTTTTGTGTCAAATATAATAGTAATAGATAATTGAATAATAAACCAAAATCAATGTCCAAATATATCAATATAAGCCAGAAATTAACTTTAAACAGCCTATTTTGCGAGCAAGATTTGCTATATAAACAGCGGCCAACTGTAAATTTGGGTGGTTTCCCTTGAATCTCTAGCTTAAACAAGATGGCTGCTTTAGTAAATGAGCTTGGTTGCATCAAGTAAAAACATCGTTAATCTTTATTTATTACTGAAATGTTTTACTACTGATGTTTTAAAACACGCACATCAATAAAAGTTTGTAACATTTTTGTAGCTTTCAAAATGTGAATCCTTCTAAAAATGCCAACTAATTACAAAAATTTGATACGTCACCCTTTTTTTCTTTCTCGTATCAGTATACAGTACACTATACACTCATACAGGGTATAGAGAAAGTATTCTGATAGTGCACAAAAATCACATGAAATTGTGACGGTTTTCACAGTTTTTCACCTCAGTCCTTCATCTGGAGTATAGAAGACTTACTTTAATCGGGCAAAAATTATAAACCCACATTTATCAAATTTTTGACGTTTTATGCATAATCAAGTCTGAAAAACTGGGCTTTGCAATTCTTTCAGTGTATGTGTGTCTGTGATCACGATAACTTGAGTACAGTTACAGCTAGGTTGATAAAATTTCATATTTCATATATAAGTATTATATCAAATTTCTAGTTCTGTATCAACTTTTCAGCTATTTCTGATTAACCGGAAGTGGAACTTATTCTACTTTAAATTTTTCAAAAGCCTATAACTTGAGTTCTGTTTCAGATAGCCAAATGAAATTTTGCGGTAATCTATCGTTTTGGGTACGTAAAATCTATAATATTTAACACAAACATATCACAATATACTTCTATTACAGCCTTGACAATGAGGTAACATTTTCGTACATTAATAGCCGCGGGCGATTTAACATACCCAAAACGATAGATTACCGAAATTTCATATGTAAGTAAAAGATCTAATTTTCCACCTTTCAAATTTAGAGTAATTTCCGTTGACCAGAAGTAGTAATGGAGGCTATTTCCAATTTCTCAAAAATGCATGTGAATATATAAAGTACTAATAATATTCCGCACTATTATACACATTTTGTTTCGCGTCTCCTTGGTGCGCAATTCTTTTTTCTACAAGATTCTATTCTATTTTAAAAAGTTTAAGTACTTAAACATAGATTTAAAAATCATGTCTATATATTGTATATCCCGAGTTGCCAATCCCCCATAGTGTTATATAAGAAAATTCGAGAAAGCTTAGGGGAGATCACTACTGGCTTTTTAACATTACTAGCCTCTGCATATTTTATGTACATAAAACCATAGATTACCTTAGTCTGTTAATTAAGAATAGTAAGGTGTACTTTTGACCTAATTTCTTTATTTATCTCGCAAGCGACACTTTAGTGAAAGTAGCTTTGTATATTCTTGTTTTAAAATGATCTTACAATCAAATAAACTTCTAAACTATGATTCTAATGTTATGCCGTGTATGATTAAACAACGGTTAGGGAATAATTCTCATGTCCTTAGGTGTGGTCACTATGCCAGTCATATACCCCCCCCCCCCCCCCCCTCCCCATTAATGCCATTTTATTATAATCTTGTGAAAAACAAGGCGCGTTTAGATGTGTGCTGCGCCCAAAGCCAATCATTTGGCCAGATTTATTATTTGTCATGTCGCCCCATATTTTAAAAACATAAAGCGTTGCGCTTTCCTCATTGATGATTGTTTTTTTTTCTTTTCATATTTTAAAGTGAAAATATGAATTGTTATGATTGCAGTTTTTGTAACATGGTATACTTACCTTCTGTCAATTTAAAAAGCATGGCATGTTAATTTTGTACAAATATTGTATAAAACAAAAAAAATTTTAAGTTTGATTTTATTTTCTACCATAATCCGCCACTCTTAGGCATATACAATACATTAATTATTTTATTTTTAAAATTGTTTATTGATTGTGTTAACTTTAAGCTATCTAAATTCATTTCTAAGATGTTTTAATATGCTTCTGAGAAGTTTCATTGAAAAAACTTTGTTTTGACTATAGTTACTAGATCTATATAATCACCACTTTAACATTTAAATATCTAATCCTCAGTTCATTTATAAGAAGCAGCATGGGAGAGGCAACTGCTGATTTAGATTTACAGTCTGATGAGTTTAAAGAATTTTCAAATTCTGAAGATGTGAAGCCACTTCTATCTACAGTATTTTCATCTTCTTCTGACATAAAAACAGAATTATCATTTTTAACTTTCCGTGATATCAAACCAAACTTGACACTTATAGCTTCACAGGATGATAAAACCGTTGTTACGCCAGATTTTTCATCTTCTACAGACACAAAGTCAGAATGTACAACATTTTCCTCTTTTGATGATGTAAAACACCATATGACATTTCTAACATCTCAAGATAAAACAACAGGATTTTTAATTTTTAAAGATATGGAACCTGCTGTATCAGCAGTATGTACAAGATCTGAAGATATAAAACCAGAATTAGAAACTTTATCAACCAACACAGAATTAGAAATTTTATCAACCACTGAAGATATAAATCCAGAATTAGAAAATAAATCAACTAGTGAAGATCTAAAACGAGAATTAGAAATTTTATCAACTAGCGAAGATATAATACAAGAATTAGAAACTTTATCAACCAACAAAGATTTAAAACCAGATTTATGGACAAAATTTTTAGATTCTGAGGACAAACAACAAAATGGACTTGAAGAAAAGCTAAAACTCCCTGAAGATGAAACATATCTGTCTGTTGATCCTCATAATTGTCATGAACAGTTTTTTCAAAGATCTAACTTGAATAAACAAGCTCAAGTAGGGGAGAGGCCACTTGAATGTGATGCTTGCCATAAAAGGTTTTCAGATAGTTCTAGTTTATATACACACAAACAAGTTCATTCAGAAGATAAACCATTTGAATGTGATGTTTGTCATAAAAAGTTTTCTAATAGTTCTGCTCTAAGCAGCCACAAAAAAATACATTTACTAGTTAGACAGTATGAATGTGATGTTTGTCACAAAAGGTTTTCAAGGAATTCTGGTTTAGCGGAACACAAAAAAGTTCATTCAGGAGAAAAGCCTCATGAATGTGATGTTTGTCATAAAAAGTTTTCATATAGTTCTAATTTATATACACACAAAAGAGTTCATTCAGAAGATAAACCATTTGAATGTGATGTTTGTCATAAAAAGTTTTCAGATAGTTCTAATTTATATACACACAAAAGAGTTCATTCAGGAGATAAACCATTTGAATGTGATGTTTGTCATAAAAAGTTTTCTCAGAGTACTAATTTATATGCACACAAAAGAGTTCATTCAGAAGATAAACCATTTGAATGTGATGTTTGTCACAAAAGGTTTTCAAGGAATTCTGGTTTAGCGGAACACAAAAAAGTTCATTCAGGAGAAAAGCCTCATGAATGTGATGTTTGTCATAAAAAGTTTTCATATAGTTCTAATTTATATAGACACAAAAGAGTTCATTCAGAAGATAAACCATTTGAATGTGATGTTTGTCATAAAAAGTTTTCAGATAATTCTAATTTATATAAACACAAAAGAGTTCATTCAGAAGATAAACCATTTGAATGTGATGTTTGTCATAAAAAGTTTTCTCAGAGTACTCATTTATATACACACAAACAAGTTCATTCAGAAGATAAACCATTTGAATGTGATGTTTGTCATAAAAAGTTTTCTCAGAGTACTTGTTTATATAGACACAAAAGAGTTCATTCAGAAGATAAACCATTTGAATGTGATGTTTGTCATAAAAAGTTTTCTCAGAGTACTCATTTATATACACACAAACAAGTTCATTCAGAAGATAAACCATTTGAATGTGATGTTTGTCATAAAAAGTTTTCTCAGAGTACTTGTTTATATAGACACAAAAGAGTTCATTCAGAAGATAAACCATTTGAATGTGATGTTTGTCATAAAAAGTTTTCTCAGAGTTGTAGTTTATATAGACACAAACAAGTTCATTCAGAAGATAAACCATTTGAATGTGATGTTTGTCATAAAAAGTTTTCTCAGAGTACTAGTTTATATAGACACAAAAGAATTCATTCAGAAGATAAACCATTTGAATGTGATGTTTGTCATAAAAAGTTTTCAGATAGTTCTAATTTATATACACACAAAAGAGTTCATTCAGGAGATAAACCATTTGAATGTGATGTTTGTCATAAAAAGTTTTCTCAGAGTACTAATTTATATGCACACAAAAGAGTTCATTCAGAAGATAAACCATTTGAATGTGATGTTTGTCATAAAAAGTTTTCAGGTAATTCTAATTTATATAAACACAAAAGAGTTCATTCAGAAGATAAACCATTTGAATGTGATGTTTGTCATAAAAAGTTTTCTCAGAGTACTCATTTATATACACACAAACAAGTTCATTCAGAAGATAAACCATTTGAATGTGATGTTTGTCATAAAAAGTTTTCTCAGAGTACTAGTTTATATAGACACAAAAGAGTTCATTCAGAAGATAAACCATTTGAATGTGATGTTTGTCATAAAAAGTTTTCTCAGAGTACTAGTTTATATAGACACAAAAGAGCTCATTCAGAAGATAAACCATTTGAATGTGATGTTTGTCATAAAAAGTTTTCTCAGAGTTGTAGTTTATATAGACACAAACAAGTTCATTCAGAAGATAAACCATTTGAATGTGATGTTTGTCATAAAAAGTTTACTCAGAGTACTAGTTTATATAGACACAAAAGAGTTCATTCAGAAGATAAACCATTTGAATATGATGTTTGTCATAAAAGGTTTTCATATAGTTCTAGTTTATATACACACAAACAAGTTCATTAGGAAGATAAACCATTTGAATGTGATGTTTGTCATAAAAAGTTTTCATATAGTTCTAATTTATATACACACAAACAAGTTCATTCAGAAGATAAACCATTTGAATGTGATGTTTGTCATAAAAAGTTTTCTTGGAGTTCTAGTTTATATAGACACAAAAGAGTTCATTCAGAAGATAAACCATTTTAATGTGAGTATTGCCATAAATATGTTTCTAGAATAAAGCGGCTCCCGATATAAGTGCTCAAGACAAATCGGCTCACGACAAATAGACTCCCGGCAATTGGGCTCCCGACATATTGGCTCCAGACCAATGAATGGCATGACCACTATTGACATAAAAGTAACGATTTTGTCCTACCGCCAATACCACTATATACTCTTTTAAATGCCCAAAATGAAATTGATTTTCATGAACCAACATTAATTCACAAACAAAGCGAGCTCTTAACAGCTAAATTTCACCAATTCTAAAGTTTTGATAATGTTTAATTTACAACAGAAAAGATCTGTTTCTTAAAAGCGAGCACAGAAGTGTAAATGTACGATACATGTATATATATGTGTGTATATATGTTGGCTGGTATCCTAATGTTGGCTGGTTATTGAATAGTTGTCACAGGTTGCTTGTTTTTTGTGTGTAGTTATATTCGTGGTTGGTCGTAGCTGGATCGGGGTAATGTTCCCCCCTTCTCTCAAGACGCCGCCCGGTTATCACGGCGCTGGGTTCTGGCAGGGTTTGACGGTGTCACGGATAATTGACGAGGTTCACAGTCGTGGATTGTGACCGGACCCTAGGTGTGTGCATGCTTTGTCTTCAATTTTATGTCCTGTCTCCCCAATGGTTGTCTGCTTAAATTTACGACCGTAAGGTCGCGACGGTCAGTTCTTGTCAAACAGGTGGTCGGAAAGTATGGGAAAAAAGTTTGTTTGGATTCAGCCTATTTAAGAGGACTGTGTTCAGACCTCTGTCTCTTACACACCAAGCTAGGGCTATAGACCAGTCTAGGCCTTATGATGGCCGCAGAGGCTGGTTTAGTGGCCCAGCTGAGGTATTGTTGATATGGCCTGGTGTTTACACCAGCGGCCCAACACCTCGTTCTTGTGGCCCGATATTATGCTCGTTGCCTGATGTCTCGATCCAGTAGCCAAATGTCTCGCTCTGGGGCCAGATGTTTGTTTTGGAGGACGGATATGTTGTCCTTGTGGCTGGGGAATCACCCTGCCTTTAGTGTGTGACGAACTGGGTCGTGTAAGGAACTCGCATAAAGGATAAAATTGTGGTTGTATCTAAAAATGTAAGCGATTGTTTTTTTGTTTTTTTACATGTATTAAGAATTCGAGGGATGTTTCCTTAATTATGAAAACTGGCCAGGTCTTATTTGTATCCTTTTGTTTTTTTGCTTGTAAAATACATTTTTTGTGAAGTTAAATAAATGCATTAACTGGGTGTTTACAAAGTTTTATTTTTAGTGTAAAATTAATGTTGTATTTGTTTAGATGTTAATTAGTTTTGCTCAGGTCTATTAGACTCCTTTGTCACCACGCAAAGGTGCACGGATTTGAGAGAATAATGGTCAATACCATCTTACCATGTCTCTCTTTTAATCGGTTAACAAAAACAACCCTCCCCTTACATTTTGGTGTCAGAAGTGCGATCGCAGATGATCCCTCTTTCTCGAACAACTAAATCCCCCTAACATATATATATATATATATATATATATATATATATATATATATATATATATATATATATAATTATAAACTAGCCCGCCAGGCACCAGAATTTTTTCCATGCATCTACCGCCCCCCCCATGACTTGTGTGTTGTGTTCAGCATATACCCGGCATAGCCCGGATTTAATATATATATTACCTTTTTAATTAACCCTAACCACAAACAAAAACTCAAACATAACTTGAGTACTGTTTCACATAGAGAAACGAAATTTCACTTAAACGTAAACAGATCTAATTCTCTGCTTTCTTTCAAATTTTGAGTAATTTTCGTTGACCGGAAGTAGAACTTTACGCTATTTCCGATTTCTAAAAAAAACGCATATGAATTAATGAAGAACTAGTTTTCCGCACTATTATTTAAATATTTTTTTCCGTTCACTTGCTGCGCAATTCTTTTTTCTTTTATGCACTCTTGGCATTTTAAAATCTTGAGGCGAGACCTAGAAACAAATAACCGCATTTTTTTTTGTTAATAATGGTCATGGTAACCATGTTCACAAGAGAAAATTCAGTTCGAAAATTCACACCTCTCCCTGGCTAGCGAGATATCGAATAACAGTGAGAGAAAGCCATACACTCGGCAGCATTTGTAAAAGTAGTTACTATAAGTCCATAGTAACGATGAAAACAGTTCTATAGAATACAAGGCATCACTATAACATGACAACACAACTGCAAACAATGGATGGTTGCAATGTTTTTATTGAATACAATGTTTGTATATACAGTTAGGTGTGTTTATATTCATAGTTATTAAATTTTAATGTTTTATTGACGTTAATATCTAAACTACAAAAGATTGCATTTATTATTATCTATTTTTATCATTGAATGCATTACAATTATTAATGTACGTTATTGTTTCTTTTGCTTAAATCAACAGACAGTTGTATAATGAATATTATTACAAAACAGTCTTATTTTAACAAAATATTTTATTCTGCCTAACAGATCGTGCACATTTGATGAAAGGAGAAAGTGGGAGGGGGTTATATTTATCATCATGTTATATTGTGTCATATGGAATATGGTTAAAATACTGCTGTTGTATAACACTGTCAGTAAGTTTAGTTCTTTTTATTTGTAAAAAAAAAAAACAAAAGAAAATTCTGCTATAGGCCCATGAATCTACAATCATTGGATAATTAGGATGAAAAACGACGATTTCCTAAAAAAATAATGTGATTCTTGTAATTCATTTATATGGTCACATAAATTGCAAAGCACTGAGTTAACATTTTGTTCGTGATGAGGCGGGGGGGGGGGGGGGGGGGGGGGTTATAAACATATTTGTTCTGTAACGTCCTTTGGGGTATGGGGTAGGTTTCAAATGTCTTGTAGGTATGTTATGAAACATATACACGTCTGGACGATCGCTACTATAGGGCTGGTAAGTAGGTCACCAACCAGTTCTACAGCTCAATAAAACCTGCATGAGCCATAGAACTATTTATTGACCTACTTACCAGCCCTA